ATGAAACTACTCACCCATCATCATAATTAAACTAATCAAATAAATAAATAAAAGCATGATCAAAGAAGTAAGTAAAATAGCTGAAATTAAAAGAGAAGAAATTATTACCAAAAAGAAATCTGAATTAATGGAAATAATTTAGAACAAAAGTTGAGAGAGAATTAAGAGAGAGAAATATTCTAAGTAGAGAGAGAAAGTCTAAGAAAGAAGGTAATCAAAATTCCGTACAAAAATCGTACTTAAACGTTTCCTAAAACAAAAATTAAAACTAAACTAATCAGGCTCCATAAAAACACGCGCCCGATTGGGCGAAGGGCCGCCCAATCGGGCCTGCCTTTTCCTTCGCGCTCCTTCTCAGCAGCATCGCCCGATCGTGCTAGACGCTCGCACGATCGGGCGCGCTATAAGCACGCACAACACCAAGCAACGCCGCGCCCGATCGTGCTAGACCTTGCCCGATTGGGCCCTTGCTTCACTTTGAGGCTCGGACTTCGATTGAGCTTGATTTCTCGGCCCAATCCGGATTTCCTCTTCGGGTCTTGAATACTCGGTCCAAATACCTCGGGATCCCAATTACCGAGCCCTTAATCACCGGCTCGATGACTCTAACCGGCCTTGGGCTTCAAAGATGGTCGTGCACCTTTAATTCCCGTAGTCGCTTCATGAAAAACCCGAGAAAATGCTCCAAAGGCGCAATTTCCTACAAAGCTCAACAAAGACTACGAAAACACTAGAAAACACAAATTAGTAATAAAAGTGGCTCGAAAGAGCCAAAAGCACTACTAATTATGACCAATAACGGGGGTAAATTAATATATAAAATGGACATATCATTTATGTGATGTATATTAATTGGTTCAACTTTATTTTATTATGATGGAAATGAAACACTTCATTTTCTTAATTGAATTTGCAAGTTATAGAATGTATAAAGACTTAAACAAAAAGATTAAAAGGGGTGACATGTGTCATATGTGGTAGTAAGTGACTTGTGATGACATGTGTCATATGAAAAATTATGGTTTGTGTTTTTAAATACTAAGTATAGATTATGTTGATGTAGTAGCATGCTAAATGTGTCTGATTGATTACAAGTAGTATCATGTTAGGTTTGGGATGGAAATTATGATTTGGATGTTATGGGTGATTGGATTATGAAGCATGATTTATTTGTGATGGATTGTTGAATGGAAAATAATAGCTTGGAATATTATTTATGAACCACATATTTATTTATGGCATAGTAGAGAGCATGTTTAATTAAACTAAATGTTTAATTTGGTTTGTAATATTAAAAAGGAATTTTATTATGGTTCATATAATTTTTATTGATGCTATAAGCATGAGGAAGGAGCTATATAAGTATTTATGTACACGAGGAATAAATTGTATGTTGGTGTCTTAGTGCACTTAAGGTGTTTTTAACACCGAGGGATAGGATTTGTGACACTTTATGCGTTTAAAGTGTCATTGGCACCGAGGTAGAATTAAAAAAGGATTCAACATTAAATATTATGTGGTCACTAATTATCCAAGAATTAAAATGGTATATTTGATTGATTGAATAATTATTATTGATTGAATGATTATGGTTGAGAGTCATCACCAAGTTAAATAATCTGTAAATAACGTAAAGTGAAAGAGATTACGCACCAAAACTCTTGGAACGGATATACCTTGATTATGAACATATGGGGGGGGGGAGTTATGTGACTTTATATTTGATCATAACTTCTACTGGAGTACAGGACGCTGTACATTCCTTTTATTATTATTATGCGCAGGAATTTCGCAACCTATGAGTGGTTATTGATGCTGACACGGTTAGCTCCCGTGTCAGTAACCTCAATTTATTCGGGGGAGGTTGAGTGGGAAACCCGTTCGATGCATAGTCAATACAAAATAAATTATGTAGTGTCTAGTGAGAACTTTTATTGATTGATGTATGCTTGAAACACAGGTGCAACCAGGTAAGTTGCGTGTTGATAGGAAATTATATGTTAGTGTGTTAATTACGCTTATGTACTCAGCTTTGCTGATTGTGTGTTTTGTGTGTTTGTTGGCCTTGTCTTTACCTTGGCCCTATGATGACCCATTTTTAATGGAGAGTATTGGGAGAAAGTAGAGATAAGCTTTTCAGGTGATGAGGCATTTTCATGAATGGGCATGAGTGAAGAGCGAATCATGCTAGCTTCCATATGTATATGAATGTGTTATTGCTTTAATTATTTATGACTTTATTTATTTTATGTGCCTAACGAAAAGGATTTTGGATTTCGATTTTGGTTAATAAAGGGCCTACAATGGTTCCAAGTTGTAGGTTGTTTTTTATTTTTACTTCGTTTGACTTTACTATCATTGGTTGACTGTTTAAGTTGACTTGTTTTGAAATTAGTCTTCCATTGTGTGTCTTTGATAGTTGCCTTAACAGTTAACACGGTGGCGATAATGTCTTAGATATTCCTATTTAAAGTTTGTAGACAGGGCAAAACATGTATTTTAAAAGGAAGGAATTTCTAGGGTGTTACAGATTTAATTGATGAGTTACCGATATTTGCGATGAATATCATGAATTTCAATTGACTTTTTGAATTTGTGATAAATTATTATGATTATTCATTATATTTATTATGAATTTGTTTGTTATTATGATTTTTCATTTTATTTATTGAGTTGATGTTATTTGTGTATAATTTTTGGGGAAAAAAATGAACAAGTGTAGTATTTTAAAATTGAACATTTAATACACCAAAAATGAACATTTAGTACATAAAAAATTTATAAATTTTAACGATTTATTTTATCTTTATTTTATGTTAATAAATATGTATCATACTATTGTGAATTTGAAAACCCCCAAATGAATATATGAAAATTATGTTCATTTTCAGCATATTCATAAATTTTTTTTTCGTATTCATTTTATAATTTATAATTTTATGATTATACTTCCACCGTTCTATTTATATTGCAGCAATGGACCTTTACGCACTATTCATCACTCTTGTGTGACCGTATAATATGATTTACAAAAACTTTTGCATGCCCCGGTTTACAATAATTTTATTGTACATCGAACATTTTGCGAAAAGTGACCCCTTTTTTTTTGTACAAAAGTGACCCTTTTTCTTCACAAAAGTGCTCCATATTTTCACAAAAGTGACCCCTTTTTTTCACAAAAGTGACCTTTTTTTACATAAAAATAAACCTTTTTCAAAAAAGTGACCATTTTTTTTACAAAAGTTACTTTTTTTTTTCTTCATAAAAGTGACCTTTTTTCAGAAAAGTAATCAAACTAACATATGCAAAACAGAGTATCAAAATTAACGAAACAAACACAAAAATTAACAATAGTCATGAAAAAACTATACAATCACTCAAACAAATCAAAAGTCATCGCCGGAACCACCGTTAGCGACGCCGATCGCGTTGAAACCATTGTTGATTCCACCATTTCCGACCATCTCACCAAGCAAAGCGATGAAAAATTTACAAAAAAAATTACAAATACTAACCTAGAGCAGAAACATCAACATCATCGATTATCACCAGAAACTAGAGGAGAGAGAAAAACAAAAGAAGTTGAGAAGTAGAGGAGAGAGAAAAAACAAAAGAAGATGAAAACTAGAGGAGAGAGAAAAAACAAAGAAAAAGAAGATTCAAGAAAAAAGAGAATTTGTAGAATAAAGAGGAGAGAGAAAATAAGATTTCATTTTTTCCTTGCCAAAATTGGGCCACCAAACTCACGCTTCCTTTCGATTTTCACTAAAATAGTGAACACCCGATTTAATAAAAAGTTTGTGTATGATTTATAAGTTTAAACAAAATATAGTCACGTGAAATCTTGTTGGATTCGTCTCATAAAATATTTTCACAATATAAAGTTTTTATAATTTTTACTCTAACACAATTATAGATATCTAGTACTATATAAAATGTGCTTCGGGATGAGTAATTTCATCCTTGTCGCAATATTAATAGAACGGAGGAAGTATATGATAATCATGCACATTTTTAATGTACTAAATGCTCATTTTTTTATTACCGAAGTTCATTTTTTGGTAATGCTAGTTTGGATGTAATTCTAGTCAGGACGTGTGCTAACTTTTAAAAATGATGTTCATGCACGATCCAAGGCCCACTAGCATGCTTATTGTTCGTGTTGGACTTGTGGTGAGCTCGTGTCGAATCAATCCATTATCCATTTTTGTATTGTATTAATAAATTCATTTTAGGAAAATTTGCCAATTACTACCGCAAGTTAATACCACTTTGTAAATTACTACCGCAAATTAAAAAAGTTGTGAATTACTACCGCAAAAAATTTTAAGATGTTGGGTTTAATGGGGGTTTGGTAGTAATCGCAACATCTTAAAATTTTTTGCGGTAGTAATTCACAACTTTTTTAATTTGCGGTAGTAATTTACAAAGTGGTATTAACTTGCGGTAATAATTGACAAATTATCCTTCATTTTATAATCATATAAATTCAGATTATTAGAAAGTATGTAGTACTGTATTACATAGTTAGGATTAATAAAGGTGAACCATCCAAATTTAAAATTTATATAACCAATTTTTTGTTAAACAAATTAAGAAATAAAATGTGCATGATCAAGCGTGAAATTCCAACTTTGCAATTAAAAAAAAAAAAAGGGAAGAATTATAACACAATGATTTACTATACATTACAATATTTCAACTTCACCCGATTTTTGTTATTTAAAGCATTTCTTCAGAGCTAGAGTCATAACTTGATCGCCGAAACTAAGTCAAGATGATTGGCAATACACTAGAAAGTCTAGAATGCAGGAAGAATAAGAATGTAATACAGTACAAATTATCCATGAACCTTCAACACAGCAAATAGAACTGATGATTATTCATGGTATAACTTCCAACAATTCACTGCAACTAAGATGAGCCCTCTCAGATGGGATACCGAGAACTATACATTAGTAGCATCGATGTATCAGCATATATATGCAATATTAAAACTGGCAATACAGAACCAGACAATGCTTAGTCTTCGGTTCTAACTAAATCTTTGCTCATCAAGTAACCATTAACTAACTGCGAGTGAGTGATAAATATTTTTGCCCAACATTTTAACAAGTCACTCGTACATTTATTTCAGATCAGAGAATTTATCAATAAAGAAACAGCCAAAGAATCAATATTCCTATGAAAATCATACAAACCATTTTGAAATTGTAATTAACGCATAATTGAATACATTGTTCTAGAAAAAATGCTACTGAAATGGTATTGCCACTAATCATTATCTACTGAAGTAAAAATTTAGATTCTTCAGAGTTTGCACGACATATGATGACTCTAATTACGGAAGCAGATAGATCCAGCTTCGGTGTAAATCGTGTAATACTGTAATAACCACACAAGCTCATATCATATCAAAGATTCATATACCTTGGAAGTTGCAGAAGACGGTGGATTCCCAATCACCTTAAAACATGAGTATTGTAGAAAGGGCCATAGCACAGGACAAGCAGCTTCAAGTTATAGCCCCGCTCTAGCTTCAAAAATTACTAAAGATGCATAAATCACAGAAGAAATTCTTGAAATAGTCTTGTCTTGAACTCCAATAAAAAATTGACCTGAAAAAACATCAATGATACCTTCTCTTACATAGCTTAATAAGCACTAAAATAGCTTTCAAATCATGAAGTCGTTCAATATAATTAATTTTAAACAATACTATGGAGTATATTACAAAATTTCACTTTTCAGCAATGACATTTCAATTAATCTCGGACTACAAAATTAAGGTAGCTTCTCCTTGATCTCCTAGATCCTTAAGAACAATACTAGGTCGTTAATTATGACAATTCAATTAATCTCTGACTACAAAATTAAGGTAGCTCACTTCTAGATCTCCTAAATTCTTGAGATTAATACTAGGTAGTTATTAAAAAACAAAAAAAAAAACAAAACAAAACAAAACAAAACAAAAAACAATGCTGTCATTTCTGAAGTGCATTATTATCTTTTAGGATAGCCATCCCTAAACGTATTACAAAAATTATGCTTCTTCAGCGTTTGCATTTGTAGGACTTAGAACCTGTTCTCTTTGCCTGACAGCAAGTTTTTTCATCCAAATTTATAAAGGCATGGTCTGGTGTGGTTTGATGTCACAATCAGACCAAACTTAAACCATATTATTACACTCTTGTATAAGAAGAAACATTGTTAGATTCATCTTAATGTCATAATGTGCACTTTCTAAATATTTGATTTTCAAAATTTTATTAGTATACATTTAATAAAACTTAGTAATAAGTGTTTGGGTCCAATTTAGTCCAATTGGGCCTGGTCACTGAATGATCCAATTAAAAGCCCAAGGCAAAGGTTCAACTCTCCAAATATGCTAAAGTCAAAAATCAACATCCTCAAAGCCATGTCAAGGTCAGTCAACGGCCCAATCAGCTTGGCCCAGCCCAACTGATTTCCGGGCCCAATCCGCCTCCTTCATTAGCCAAGGTATAAAAGCCAACAATTTGGTCAATTCTTGGTAAGAGAAAGACAAAGACAAAGACACAAAAGCCTCAAGCAACTAAACTCTTGCACAGCTTTCTCTCTCTAATATACTGACTTAAGCATCGGAGGGGCCTTCCTCGGCGTCCCCCCCGAGGCTAGTTTACGTGTATTTGTTGTGCAGGAAACCCTCGGCTCCTGCGTCGTTCGGACCGAGGCCAAGTTCCCTCAAGATAAAAGGATCTTCCGAGATTCGATTGTTTTCATCCGAAACAATTTGGCGCCGTCTGTGGGGAACGCTACTAAATTTCGCGTCAGTCATCAAACACTCCGGCAGTCGCCATGACTAAGAGTGGAAAGAGTTCCAAGAAGGCTAAGAAGGGAGGAGGCCGGATTACGGTGAGGGAACGCCAGCCGGTTTATCCCTCCCCGGAGCAAGCCTCTTCCGAATCGGAGGCCCCCATTTCTCCGGAAAGGGAAGCCTCAAGAGGTCCTAGCCTCCAGGAGGAGAACACCTCGCACCACACTCGGCAGCCGGGGCCATCCCCGAGACCGAGTGGCTCAGGAGCGAGGAACTCCCCGCCGCGCCATAGCGTGCAATCCAGGTCACATCCGCGGGAGACTCCTCCCTCCGGACCCTCCACCGAGGAAGTGGCCAGAGCAGTGGCCATCTGCATGGAGTTCCTTAAAGCTCAAGGGGCTCCAATCCGGATGCCTGATGATCACCAGCCGAGAAACCTGAAAAGGAGGATCGGTCAGGATGATGGTGGACAAGTTCCACCACATAGACAGCTCGGCCAGAGGTGGCGAGGGGACACCCGAAACTCCAGTAAGGAGAGGAGGAGGAACCCTCAACCCTCTGACCACTCTGAAGCTCAGAATTCCATGGGGCCCTCCAAGGACCCGGAATTCGCCCGCCAAAGCGTTCACGAACGCTTGGGTTCGAGGGAGGTGAGTGTGCATAGCCGCCTCACCTTCCCAGAGGATACCGGACCCCACCCAACCTTGTCTCAGCCGGGGACGAAAACCACTTCCACCTCTGAGAGAGGAGGGAGCGAGGTCCCTGAGGCCGGGTACAAGGGGAAGGCGGTCATGGTTCCATCGAACTCGCCCTTCCAGAAGTGGATTCTGGAAGAGCATGTGCCAACGGTCAAAATCCCGGCACATATTACTTACGATGGTACCTCAGATCCTAAGGATCACATTGCCTCTTACGAGGGGCACATGTATCTGAACCCGAGGTCTGAGGCTACCTGGTGTAAATACTTTCCTACGACCCTCAAAGGTGTTGCCCAATCCTGGATCACCAAAGGGCTCAAGGAAGGCTCCATAACCGGTTGGAACGACCTCTCCAACAAGTTCAAGAGCAAATTCTCTACGGCCAACCGCCGAGAGAAGACCACTGCAGAGCTAATGAGTCTGCAGCAGGCGGAGGACGAGAGCCTCCGCGACTATCTGACTCGCTTCAGCAACGAGTCATCCGGAATCACAAGCCTGGATCAAGGCCTGGCCGTGTTCGCGCTACGGAACGGCCTCCAAGCTGGAAAGTTCCTGGACTTCATGGTCATGCATCCCCCGCAGACCCTGGAGGAAGCCTTGGAAGCATCGGATAGGTTCATCCGAGCCGAGGAGTGGAACAGATCCAGGTCTCAGTCTCGTCCGAGAATTGAGAAGCCGAAAGGGCAGCAGCCCGAAGTCTCGGCGCAGAGGAAAGGGAAGGCTAAGGCCTCAGAACCGTCCTCTGCTGCCGAGCCGAAGAAGGAAAGACAGGTCTCAGTCTCGTCCGAGAATTGAGAAGCCGAAAGGGCAGCAGCCCGAAGTCTCGGCGCAGAGGAAAGGGAAGGCTAAGGCCTCAGAACCGTCCTCTGCTTCCGAGCCGAAGAAGGAAAGACAGGTCTCAGTCTCGTCCGAGAATTGAGAAGCCGAAAGGGCAGCAGCCCGAAGTCTCGGCGCAGAGGAAAGGGAAGGCTAAGGCCTCAGAACCGTCCTCTGCTGCCGAGCCGAAGAAGGAAAGACACTTTCCCTACACGGGAAGGTACGATTCATACACTCCACTCTCCCTTCCCCGTGCTAAGATTTTCAGCACGACGAAGGACGAGAGAAGATTCAAAAAACCTCGTCCGTTGCCTCCCTGGCATCAGACGAGGGGAAAGGACCAGTGGTGCGAGTTCCATGACTCACCCGGACATCGCACCGAGGACTGCGTCCAGCTGAAGGACCAGATTGAGGATCTGGTCCGCAAGGGGTACCTGAGCCAATACCTCGCGGACAGGCGCGAGGGGAAAAAAGCTGAAAAAGATTCTCGGCAGGACCTCAACTTCGCTCGGAAGAAGGATAAGGGACCTCAGGGCAAGGAGTCCCTCGACATCCTAGTTATTTCCGGGGGAATCTCGCGAGGCACAGCCAAACGCCAACTGAGGGGTCTAACCCATCAGATTCATCAGGCTGAGCTTCGGCAGTCCCAGTCACCGGCGCCGAACATCCTGTTCACAGCCGAAGACTGTGAGGGGGTGGTATACCCCCACGATGACCCACTAGTAATCATTTTGGGCATCGCCAACCGCAACGTCTGGCGGACCCTCGTCGACGGCGGTAGCGGGGCGAACATCCTCTTCCGAGGAGCGTTCGACCAGCTGAGGATGGGAGCCGAGCACCTGGCCCCCGCACCCTACCCGGTGTCTGGATTCAACGGCTCTTCCTCGTATCCTGACGGGAAGATTACACTTCCTGTCACCATCGGCGAAGGCCGAGCAGCTAGGAATATCATGGCCGAATTTTTGGTCGTAGATGCTCCATCTGCATACAACGTGATCATGGGGAGACCCCTCATTCACGGCATTCAAGGAGTCGTCTCCACGTATCATCAAATCATGATATACGTTTCAGACGAGGGACGCTCCGAGAAAATAAAGGGCAGTCAAAAAGAAGCCCGCCGATGCAATCACCTCAAGCCATCCACGTCTCGCCGAGGCGACCGTGGCGATGGGGAGGAAAAGCACCGGGACCGAAACGCCAAAAAGCCGAGAGGCTCAGACGTTTCGGCTAATGAAGCCCCAGACAACGAGAAATCTGATGGGGCCAAAAGGCTGACTCCGCCTCAGGGCCGAACGACTCTGATGGCCAGCCGCGGTCAGGAAAGTCTGCTAATATTGATAGCAGGCCGGAATTCGAGGAATCCAACTCTAAGAGCATGGAAACGGATGACCTGACCGAGTCAATAGAACTGACCGTAGGAGATCCGAACAGATGTGTTAGCATCGGGTCGTCACTGGAGCCAAACACCCGTGCGGCACTCGTCCAACTCCTACGGGCCAGTGGAGACGTGTTCGCCTTCTCAGCCGCAGAAATGCCCGGGATTGATCCGGACTTCGTCTCCCATAGGCTTAATGTCGACCCCTCCAGTCGACCCATTAAGCAGAAAAAGCGGAACTACTCCGCCGAAAAGAACCAGAACATCGCAGCTGAGGTCGATAAGCTCCTAGATGCTGGGTTCATTGAACCCTGTCAGTATCCGGAGTGGCTGACCAATGTTGTAATGGTTCAGAAGGCAAATGGTAACTGGAGGATGTGCGTTGACTTCACGGACCTGAATAGGGCATGTCCCAAGGACTCCTATCCGCTGCCGAGGATCGACCAACTGGTCGACTCGACAAGCGGGCATGCTCTGCTCAGTTTCATGGACGCATTCTCGGGATACCATCAGATCTTCATGCACCCCGAGGACCGAGCTAAAACAGCGTTCATAACAAGTTCCGGGTTGTACAATTACAGAATGATGCCCTTCGGATTGAAAAATGCGGGGGCAACATATCAGAGGTTGGTTGATCAGGTTTTCGCCGAGCAAAAAGGCCGAAACATGGAGGTTTATGTTGACGACTCAATCGTCAAAAGCATAAAAGAAAAAGATCATGTCACGGACCTAGCCGAAACCTTCGCCACCCTCAGAAAATACAAAATGAAGCTGAATCCGAAGAAATGTGTCTTCGGCGTGAAGTCAGGCAAGTTCCTCGGCTTCATGGTCAGCAAGAGGGGGATTGATGCAAACCCCGCCAAAGTACAAGCTGCTTTAGACCTCCCCGAGCCGAAGACAAAAAGGGATATTCAGCGTCTAGCCGGGAGAATG